TTCAGGGGCGGAGTAATTTGTTTTCAAGAATTATTTCTTTGAACAAAAATCCCCCTTTTTAACGAAATTCACTAATCAAAAGTAGATTTTTTTATATTTTGACAGTTATTATGTGTTACATGATAAATAGAAAAACATGCTACTGTCTTTTGATATCAATTCTATCAGGCTCGGCTGATATGGGCAGAAAGGGCGAAGCATTTCTAGCCCATATCAGCCTCTCCTGATAAAATTGATATCAAAAGACAGTAGCATGTTATTCTCTATATATCTACCTATAAAGTTTCATGTTGATATCTCTTATAGTTTTACAGCTATGACCTGGACAAGATTTTTCTAAAAGGGGAGATAATTCAAAAATGAGGCTTAACAGAGTTATGGTTCTTTTGCACTGCACCTCTACTCAATGAGATCTATCTACCTACAATATTTCATCTTGATATCTCTTATAGTTTTAGAGTTATGTTCCGGACAAAGTTCAAAGTGTTAAAATTAACAAAGGGCAATAACTCCAAAATTAGGACAAAAAGAGTTATTGTTCTTATGCACTGCACATCTACCCATTGAGATCTATTCACCTACAAAGTTTCATGTTGATATCTCTTATAGTTTTAGAGTTATGCCCCGGACAAGATTTTTCTATAAGGGGAGATAATTCAAAAACCGGGCAAAATAGAGTTATGGTTCTTTGACACTGCACTCCCCCTCAATGCCCTCTACCAGTGTATGAAGTTTCAACAAATTATCTCCATGGGTTTTCAAGTTATGCTCCGGACAAGACAACGGACGGACAGACGGACGTCCGGCCGAAATGTAATAAAGGGCCATTTCTTTTGTTATTTTCTATTGTTTAATAGGGGGCCAATGGCCCCTTACTCTATTGTTACGGAATGAACTCTATTGTTCTCTTTTCAGGCTGTCCAGCACATTCTGACAAAAAATTAGGGCAAATTTTAGGGCAATTTTTAAAAAAAATTAGGGCTAAAATTAGGAATTTTAGGGTAAATAAAAGAAATTTTAGGGCTTAAATTTGGAATTTCATAACTAAATTATGGCCTCAAAGACCATGGTATGGGCTCAACTTTGGATATTTGACACAAAAGTAACTCACAAATAATGGTCTAGTTGGGTTATAGCAAAGGTGTTACCAGTGTTCCATAGTCACCAGTGAAGAAATGGATTCACTGGTTCACTGCCTTTAAAAAGAGCTGAAAAACTACATTAATACAAAAAATGTACATAACTAGAATGAAAACATTTTCAAAGTTATAAGTATCCCGGAACATCCAATATTCAATTAGTTAAGCTATGATTAGCCAATAATAAATGGAGGGGGAAATTATGCTTTAGATTTATTTTAGCTATAAATGCATTTATTATCAACATTTATTCATTTAAGGTTGGTACATTTTTCAACAAGTCTTGATCTTATTTAAAAAAAAAATAAAAAAACAGTATGACCCACTCAAGTCATTCCCAGGAATATTAAAACTTAAATTCAAACAGCAGGGTATACACCTATGAAGAATTTGTTCAAGATAAATCAGGCTACTAAAATTGTAGAAATTTCACAACAGTGTCAGTGTTTTGAATGATTTTCAACAGTTTTTTCCAGATTTTAAAAAAACTTGCACTATATGTTATAACATATGTTCAGTACATGTTAATGTGTACAAAACGGACAGCTGAATATGTCACTTCTTAGTACCCTAATTGGGAAGCAAAATGGTTAAAGCATCCAATCATTACTGCCAGTTTACCTTACCCACTTTATAATTAGCAATGGAAACTTGTCTAGATCTGCCAGCTGGTATCAATTACCAAAGATCTGTTCTACAGTCATCACTTGAAAATAACTTGATTACAAATTAAGATTTTATTAATAAGGACCCCTACATAAAGTTTGATGAAATTTAGTGGTTCATAATGTAAACAGTTGGTTGCTTTAAATACACCTAAGACTGAGGTAAATGGTAAAACTGAGACTGTAGCCAATAAAAATGTAACTCCCTTGGAAAAATTTTTATCACAATTTTAAACAATTTTCATTGTTCTATTTAAAACAAAAAGTTTCTTATTATTTTTCTGATAACATCTGGTAATTAATCAAGTATGGCATTTCTGCAGGAGTTGAAGTAAATACAACATGTGACTTTATGCAAATTAGTCAGACATGACATCAGCTCCACTGACTGTGTTCGAATTTAAGTTGTGATTGAAACATGGTTGTTTCGCGATATGTTTATCACAAAAGATGAAAAAAATAGGAATTTAAGTGAAAAAATAGGGCTTTTTTAGGAATTCCCTTTGAATTTTTCATTTTTTTAGGAATTTTAGCCAAACTGAAAAAAAATTAGGATTTTTTAGGAATTTTAGGGACGCTGGACAGCCTGTCTTTTGTTCTGTTTACAGTTAGATGGCCCTCTATCCCTTTTCGGTAGTGCGGACGGACGGACGGGCGTTCTCACAGGACAGTAATTATGTGGCTACTCTATTGTTCTCTCTATTGTTCTTTTAGCCACGCAAAAGACAATAGCCACAAAAAAGCATTACGGAATGAATGACATCAAAGAGAACCTATTGTCCCTCTAGCCACATAATTACTCTCCTGTGAGTGCGGACAGACGAACAAGGCGCCGACTATATGCTCCCCCGAAATTTTTCGGGGAGCATAAAAAATGACACCCCTGGGGCGGGGTCAGTTTTGACCCCAGGGCTTTTATTTGAGCAAACTTTGTAGACACTTACTAGAAGATGTTTCATGCTTAATATCTAAACTCTAGCTATTCAGGTTTTTTCACAGAAGAGTTTTAAGTTTTTGCAATACACATATAAGGAAAATCAATGACCCCCGGGGCGGGGCCAATTTTGACCCCAGGGCTTTTATTTGAACAAACTTTGTAGACACTCACTAGAAGATGTTTCATGCTTAATATCTAAACTCTAGCTATATGGGTTTTTTCAAAGAAGATTTTTAAAGTTTTTGCTATACAAATATAAGGAAAATCAATGACCCCCGGGGCGGGGCCAATTTTGACCCCAGGCCTTTATTAGAACAAACTTTGTAGACACCCATTAAAACATGTTTCATGCTAAATATCTTAGCTCTAGCTCTTTGAGTTCTTTAAAAGAAGATTTTTTAAGTTTTTACTATATGCATATAGGGAAAATCAATGACCCACTGGGGCGGGGCCAATTTTGACCCCAGGGCTTTTATTTGAACAAACTTGGTAGACACTCACTAGAAAATGTTCCATGCCAAATATCTAAGCTCTAGCTCTTAGAGTTTTTTTAAAGAAGATATTTAAAGTTTTTTCTTTTGGTTGCCATGGCAACCAGAGTTCTGCATGGAATTAAATTCTTTGAACAATTTTTAAAGGAGACCACCAAAGGAACATTCCTGTGAAGTTTTGATGAAATTGGCTTAGTGGTTTATGAGGAGATGTCTCTTAAAGTAAAAGTTTACGGATGGACGCCGGACGAAAAGCGATCACAAAAGCTCACCCTGTCACTTTGTGACAGGTGAGCTAAAAACAAGCTTTGTTTCTGGTTTTTGTGCATTAAATTTGTGTAAACAAAACTGATTATGAAAATTTCTAGCTGTCAACTGAATCGGCAAGGTTCTATTGCATCGGGGAAATTTACTTTGAAAATCACGCCCAAAATACAGGGCGAGTAACCTACCATGCAGGACAAGTAGAAATTTGAAGGTACACGTCATGCAGGACGAATGGCTCTGATATTTTTTTTCGATCTCTGGATGTGTGTAACTTAATGTCCAAAGGCAATACAATGTGACAGCCATGTTAAGAAATTCTTTGAAATAAATTGTATTTTACCTATTCTTAACTACTTTACCATTGTCCTTTAAGTATGGCCTTGACATATAAGCCACTATATTGATACATATACATTGTCCTATTTAAGCAAACATTTGTGATAAGATATATATCAAAAAGAAATTGTAATGCAAGAGCAAGACACTGCCAAGACAAACAAAGTGTACTGAAGTTTTGAAAATATGCCTTTAAGCCACCAATCTGGTTCTATGATATACATGTAATACACAGTGTAATTGAGGCAAAACTTTGAATTAAGTTTTGTATAAATTCTTCAATGCATTGGTAAGATACAAAAACAAATGATCAGTGCTTCTTACTTAATATATATATACATATAAAAGCTTCAGCTTAAAGAATGAAATTATGTCCAAAGTTTAGTTGTCCACAGAAACGCAGACAAACATAGTAATACCTGCCCATATAAAGTATGATCAACATTTCTCAGTGCTGGATAGTATTAATTAAAGCAAAAAAGAACAGGGGACATTATTATACAAAAGGTACTTGGCATACTTACCTGCCCTTGATGGTGATCTGAGGTGGACATCTTGATAATGCACAGTTCAAAAAAGAGCGAATATTCTGTCAGAATTCATGTAAGAGTTTTTGGGCTTGAACAGTGACCTATTATGCTCTCAAATAAGAATGTGAAGTGTCAACCCATTCCCTTCAGTAGTTTTGGACATACAAACTACAATATGGCAAATTATGTGACCTAGACCTGAATAACCTCGATAGTTTCTGAGAAAATTAACCTTAACTTCATGTGATTTGCCACCGCAGACAAGAGAGTCACAACTTTAGCTTCACTTTTTTGTTTGAAATGTGGAGCTAAAACTCACAGGCCAAAAAATCTATTTGTGATCAGATTGTGAATATTTAGTAGTAACATTACTATGTGGTGAAACTGAGGTCTGTTGACTCTAAATCACGAATATACATAAAACATGTGAGCCGCGTCATGACAAAACCAACATAGTGCGTTTGTGACCAGCATGGATCCAGACCAGCCTGCGCATCCGCACAGCCTAATTAGGATCCATGCTGTTCGCTTACAAAGTCTATAACAAGTAGAGAAACTGATAGCGAACAGCGTGGATCCTGATCAGACTGCGCGGATGCGCAGGCTGGTCTGGATCCATGCTGGTCACAAACCCATTATGTCAGTTTTGTTGTGACCCGGCTCATGTATGTTACACAATCTACGGCTCGACTACTTACTGGCTCGGTATCCTTCTCAAAATCGTTCGACAAGGCAGCAACATTGACAAAATCGGAAGCAAAAGGTGCGTAATGATAGGGGAAATACCACTTCCACGAGGCACAGCCTTGATAGTAGTAACGTAAAACCCAACATAACCCTCTCACATAGTGATTAGCCTGTAAACAAAACACATACAAATGGTCAGAAAATATGAAAATATACATTACTTTGCAGCTAAGATTCATTGTAACAACCACCTAATTTGTAATTTAAATCTTTTTTTTATAAGTACATATAACTATAAATCTGACTAAAGTTCATATCTACTTATATCTTCCATGTAGATCTGATGACCATCGTATATGTTTTGCCTTCTTTATAATTCAGATTTCCCAGAGAAAGCTATTTTTAGCCATGCAATCAAACCACTTTTTACAAATAGGCATTAGATACCGTTATCCGTGGAAGTTAAACAAATTGTTGATTTTTGTTAGCAAAAAAATGTAATTTATAACAAATCAACTTGAAATAATAACGTCAATTTTTAATGGGCAAGATTGTTTTGCCAGTTTACCTGACGGCTATATGGACAATACCATGTTTGTTCTCGAAATAATGAAATTTACCTACTCAGTATTGGGTTTCCATGGGTTAAAATTAGAAACTGTATCGCTTTTAAAATAATGAAAGCTCACCAATGGTTGGTTGTTTGAAAGACAACAAAAAAGTGACTACCTATGGGTGGATGTCAGATCTTAATGCACAACATTATTTAGAAGCTGATTTGAATCAGATTAATGTAACTATTTACTGCAAAGATTCTAGACAAAATTTTACTGCATTCAATTTCATAATAATGAGATAAGATTTTCTTTTTATTCTACCAACATGAAAGTTATCTGACTTGCATATCAGTTGGATTCCTTTTTGTACAGACTGCCAATATGACATGATGGATTATGAAATGTTTTGTTTTTGTTTTGGTCGAGTCACATATTTTTTTTTAGTATAATACATTCTTTTAAGCACACTCTTTATACATAAATACCATTGAAAAATAATGAGACATCATTATAAGCATAGATTAATTCACGAATAAATACACATATACAATATACAAACCACATTATGTCTGAAAGCTATATCTTCAGATCCCACGTCAAATTTGTTCTTGTAATATCTGTCCTTCCATCCATCTTCCCACAATCTACAATGAATGAATTAAACCTTACCACTCTAGAACTCAAAGTGAATTAAGCCTTTTTTATCAGTATAGAGCCTGGTATGACTGCACGGAGCCCTGTCGTCTGCATCTACATGCAGCCTGACCTGGCAATACTGTTGACTGACTTGACTTAAAATTTCCATCTTAACTTCCGGAAAGTTAATCATAATGTAGGTAGTTCTGACAAGAGCCGAGCAGGGCCAAAGCTTGATTTTTTTTTTTACATTTTTTAAAAGTTCCTTTGCTGAAAAACATTGTTAGCTTGTCTGTAACAGAGAAAAAGTCAGGCTATTATAATCGCTGCAGCCGAATTTAGGCCGTCATGCAAAAACTTTCAACATTTCAAAAGGTAGCCACATGAAATTTGGAATACTTTCTTATCATTACAAGGTGCAGTTGTTAGACAAGGGGCATAATTCTGACAGAAATAATTTTTGAGTTATGCTTCTTTTTTACTTAGATATTTCTAACAGATGAGCCTTAACACTGCATGCCATGCTCTCGTTTAAGCTATGGATTTGGTTAATTACCCCTAACTGGTGTAGGTCCAAATCCCAGCAGTGACTTTTGTTACTTTAATTTGTGGAAGCTATCAAAGTCTCTAGTATATCAATCTGTAAAGCTTAGATGCCATCATATGACCAGATTAAGTGTTGATGCCAAACACTATAGTCTAATTTTTTTGATGAATTCAGGAATAATGTAACATTCTTACAAGCTCACACATTTTCTCTATCAAACAGACAGGGCAATGAAGGGCATAATTACACGATATATGCACAGCATAAAAAAACGAATGCTTACACGTCATATGATGTCATATGTCAATAAACCAAATGATGTCAGAAAAATTACTTACATGCCCGATGTAGTTCAACATTTTTTTTATCAATTCTCTATTTTATTAGCATGTTAGAATGGAAATATGATATTTATTTTTCTTGCATTATTGTATAAATAATAATATTGCATGACTAATCATTAATCACTAAGGCTTATCAGCCTTGTTGATTATATTCCTGTGCATTTTAAATCGAACCATGCATTATTCTACAACAATGCACTCAAAATTGATATCTACTGTATAAGTGGATATTTTTGTGTCACAAAGTGGACTTTTTGCGTGTGGAAATATTTGCGAAAATAAGATTTATTGAATTTAATACTGTTTTTGTGCTATCTTAAATTAAACAGGTTCATGTTAAAGATATGTTGTTATTGTTATCGTTCTCTTCAGTAATTTAACACCTATATTATTTCTATAATTGTTTGAAATATACATTGTTAGTTTGATAAAGGACCTGATCATACATTTCTTTGTCATATTTTGAAACATTCTTGTGTAATATGAATAACCTTTTGTGTTATAAACACATATATTATTTCATTAAAACATTTGTGATTTGTTAAGACCAAACTTAAACAAACAGGCAATGAGAAAAAATAATCCCAGTTCCTGAACAGTCAAACTTATTCATGTAAGATGTTGTATGAAAAAGTGTTTTCAAATGATAGAAGAAAGTTTGCCTTAAAAAAAAAATTATTTGCGACTAATTTCAATTCGCAAAATTGCAAATATTTCCAAGTTGCAAAATTAACCACTTATACAGTATTTCTTTACTTTAGCATAAGAAATAAAAACGTACTTGACATCATCTTCCGGTTCAGGATCACTGTCACTGTCCATATTCTCACGTTTACGTTTCTCGCCTCTCTCGTTATTCTATTGTGAAAAAATAAATAGAGGATATTTGTTTAGTTCAGTGTAAGATCAGTAAATATTTTACCAAATGAGCACTAAAAGTGGCGCAGCCACGAGTGATTTTTTGTTTGATAGGGTTTTACGTCACACAGACACAGTATAGGTCATTTGGCGACGTCCAGCTTTACTGGTGGAGGAACATCTCAGGTGCCCTTCCATGCATTATTTCAGGCACGAATGGGCACCTGAGTAGAACCACCGACATTCCATAAGCTAACTAGATAGCTTTCTCACATGAAAGAATCCAAAGTCCCTGTCGGGATTCAAACCCACAGTGGTAAGGGGCAAATGGTTTGAAGTCAACGACTTTAACCACTCAGCCACGGATGCCCCGCCACGAGTGAAATACAAACTTTTGGTGTTCACTAGGTGAAATATATTTCTTACACTAAACTAAACAAATTTTCTTTTTATTATATGCAAAGAAACATTTAAAAGGCATTTTAACCTAATACTTAATGAAAATTGCACCAAATAATAATACAGCGTGATGTCATTAAATTGATTTCCAATAATATGCATGCTGGTATTTCACTGAAAAAACGTACAGGGCTTAAATTAAAAACAGTGAAAAATATCACTGTTTTTGACAGTGAAATATCAGTTCTAAATTTCACTGTCATATTTATATAAACGAATGAAAAGCATGTAATAAAAAGTTCTATTTGTTATCTCAGTGACAACAGCCTAAGCTGCTCTGACAATAACATTTCAAGAACTTACATGTATGTTTAGGCTATTGGAATATTACAAATAAGAAACCCAATAACAAATTTCACTGTTCCAAAACTACTGGTTTTCTGGCTTACCTCACAGGCTGTATCCAGCCTACTTAAATTTTTATCGCAATCTAAAATACATCTCTATGGGACAAATGGAAGTTGGTTTTTGTATTTTCTGATCGTAAGATCAGTAAATACATAGCTAACATCCAAGGTCTAACACAAAATTTCCTTACAGTCCTTACAACGCAAACAGTCCTACGCACAAGCCCAAGATTTCCAGTTTTCCCCAAAATTTCCTATCTCTGGCCAGTGATGAGCATTTAATTATAATTACAAGGCTTGTCACTGTATTACTGATAGCAAATCCATTGAATGTTTTATGATCCTATCATGTTTCAAGAATGTATAGTTTAAGCTGGAAGACAGAGAACATTTTAGATGTAACGAAAAACTAAGATTTAACTTTTTAGTGTAAAGAAGACAAATACAAATTGGATTACAGTAAAAAAAGGTTTTTAATCACTTACAACTCACAATGAAAATGATTTTGTAAATTACTTTCATATTAAAGGCATATCATACCTCAGTGATTTACATTCTTTTTTTTTTTCAGAAGGAGCAAAATAATGTTTAGTAATGATAATAATGGATTCAAAGCATTATTGAAGCTTATCATTCAATCTAGTAGGGAAAGAGATGAATGTGATTTTTTTTATAAAAAAGGTACCAAAATGATACAAGCAAAAAGTAAACAAAGTTTTTAAAGTAAAATTCTAAGTTCGAAGAGGAAATATCTCTTGAAATAAGGATACTAGAGTTATGAACCATGTCATGCATGATGTGAGTAATGACAAAGGAAAATTATCTTAAGTCTAGAGTTGATGCCATTTATAATAACAAAGATAATTGTTAGAAATATATTAATTTTCAATAAATCTCTAATTCAAAAATGAAATGGAGATAATTCTAGAAATACAGGACTAATGAGTTATAAATCTAATCCCATAAGGTGTTGATAAAATACATTTTTATGCCGCCGAAGGGAGGCATATTAAAATCGCACCGTCCCTCTGTCTGTCTGGACGTCCGTCTGTCTGTGTGTCCCCACTTCATTCCTGTCCGGACTATAACTTTGTCATGCATGGAATGATATTTAAATAACTAGGCATTAATGTCTACCACATCAAGACGATGTGTCGCGTCCAAGAATTACGTCCCTACCTCAGAGGTCAAGGTCACACTAACATTTTGAAGTTTCACTTTATCACAATAAAAGTTTATAGGTTCACACATTTGTGTCCGGAATGTAACTTTGTCATGCATGGAAGAATTTTAAAATAACTTGGGATAAATGTCTTCCACATCAAGACGATGTGTTACGCGTCAACTTATCACGCCCCTACCTCAAAGGTCAAGGTCACACTACCATTTTGAAGTTCACTATATCAAAATTAGAGTTTATAGTTACACACATTCGTGTCCGGACTGTCATGCATCAAAGGATTATAAAATAACTAGGCATAAATATCTTCCACATCAAGACGACATGTCGCGACTAAGACCCCTAATCCCTACCTTCAAGGTTAATGTCATACTTATAGTTTGAAGGTATTCATTCATTCGAGAAGAGTTTGAAGATACACATTCATGTCCGGCATGCATGGAAAACTTTTATAATAACTTTTGCACAAATGCCTACCACATCAGGACAATGTATCGCAGCAAAGGGTTATGTCCGTCTGTCCGTTTGTGTGTCCCCAATTACACAACAATCATGTCCAGTATGTAACTTTATCATGCATTGAGGGATTTTAAATAACTTGGCACAAATGTCTATCTCATGACAACATTCTGTCGTATCCAGGAACCACGTCCCTTCTTCAAAGGTCAGGGTTACACTTATAGGCTATCACAATAAGAGATTATAGGTACAATAATACAAAGAAAAATATTAAGCAATTAGTTACTTTCCTCCTCTTTTCTTTTCATACTACCAGTCCTGCATGCTTAAGAAACTTTTTCGGGGGCATTCGTCACTAATCTTGTGTGACAGCTCTTGTTGAAGTCCGAATTTAATAAGGAAAATTCTAAGTATAAAGGGATAATGATTCTGAAAATATTGATGCTAGAGTTATGAAGCTTGCCATGTTATTGTTTAAAGTTATAAAATATCAATTTTTATTTAAAAAAAAAGTTAAATGGGGGAAATAATCCTGGAAATATTCATGCTACAGTTATGAATCTTGTCACACATGATAAGGAAATATATTTGAAGTTAGAAGTTGATACCTTAAGAAATAAAAAAGAAAGTAAAAGTAACATTTTTTGAGAGGAAAACAATTCATGGGGAGATAATCCTGGAAAAATTGGTGTTAGAGTAAAAAAAATAAAGTTTCCTTTTAAAAGGAAAGGCTTGCACAGTTGTGCCTTCATCCCAACCCTTTAAAATTGTTTTTTTTTTTTTTTGGTTTCAATTTATTATCACATTTTTTTTGAATTACGGTATTTGTATATCATAAAGGGTTTATTTAGTTCTCTTATCTCTATTGTATAAAACTAATAAAACAAGAGCCACCGCCGGGCGGGGGCAACGCTCGACTTTTTACTTTTTCTAAACGCAAACATAGAAAGGTTTGAACATATATTGATGTTTCCTTTTTATAAATTTAGTTGGTCTGTCTTGTCACATTAGTTTTGTTTATATATTTTGTATATATATGAATAGAAACATTAAGCATATTTCTAAAAATAGCAACAGTACGCAATGTCTAAAAATAGCAACAATGACGCAATTTCTAAAAATAGCAACAATGACGCAATTTCTGAAAATAGAAAAAATGACGCAATTCCTAAAAATAGAAAAAATGACGCAATTTCTAAAAATAGAAACAATGACGCAATTTCTAAAAATAGGGGAAAAAAATGACGCAATTTCTAAAAATAGAAACAATGACGCAATTTCTAAAAATAGAAAAAAATGACGCAATTACTAAAAATAGCAACAATGACGCAATTTCTAAAAATAGAAAAAATGACGCAATTTCTAAAAATAGAAACAATGACGCAATTTCTAAAAATAGAACAAAAATGACGCAATTTCTAAAAATAGAAAAAAATGACGCAATTTCTAAAAATAGCAACAATGATGCAATTTCTTAAAATAGAAAGAAATGACGCAAATTCTAAAAATAGAAACAATGACGCAATTTCTAAAAATAGAACAAAAATGACGCAATTTCAAAAAATAGAAAAAAAATGACGCAATTTCTAAAAATAGCAACAATGATGCAATTTCTAAAAATAGAAAAAAATGACGCAATTTCTAAAAATAGCAACAATGACGCAATTTCTAAAAATATAAAAAAATGACGCAATTATATACATGTATATATATATATATATATATATATATATATATATATATATATATATATATATATATATATATATCTGATATATATATATATATTTGATATATATATCAGGGCTCAAGCTAGGTTCAAAATTTAGGGAGATTAGTCACTTCTCCCTCCAGCTGATTTAGGGAGAAGTGGGGAGACTTTAGGGAGAAGTGAGGAGATTCATTTATTGATGTTTGTTGTATGTTATCGCAATTATGTTGACTCACTGTTCATTTCTTATTAAATGAATTGGATTTGTGTTACAAAAGAATATTCAATTTTAATTTAAAACAGAGACATAGATAGCTATTATTATAACTATTATTATCTATGTCTCTGTTTAAAAGTAGTTTGAAACAAGTAATAATTAAGAATGAGTAGCATGTAATGCAACCATTGCATTAAATGAAGATAAAAAAAGCCATAGTTGATTCCTATCATGGATCATATCATGGGTGGATTAATAGTTATTCCCTTCTGATTTACTATTAAAAAGATTGCGCCGGACATTATATTCATATTCACTTATGTTGTAAAGAAAATAAAAGTAGATAACGAAAGAAACGATCCTTAATTTCACTTTATTTGTAATAAATACAGTGTAATACGCCGTTAATCTTATCAAATTTAACTCGTCGACAAAAAAGGTTATCATAACTTTCATTTATAATTACCGTTACAGTTATATGTCGAGCGGTTCCGCTTAATTCTGACAATCATTCGATAGTGAAAATTTAATTGACGTTTGATCCGTAATCCTAAATAATTGTTACAGGTAGTTGTATGTTAGCGATTTAATGATTGGTTAAATTATGTCGCCTCGATTAAAACGTGAATTACGATTGGTTTCTCGCACGTATCGGTAATCTCGCCGTGGGCATATATATATATATATTTATATATATATATACCTGCATATATGTATATATATACACACACACATTTATATATATATATATATAATACATATACTATACATACACACACACCAATAAATGCACAATCTGAGAAAATTCAGTAATATAACCTTCAAGGTCAAGGTCATTAAAGAGCCCAAGCAAATTTGGGTTTGATAAACAACAAGGTCTGGTCCTTAAGAATGTTCTGTTATAATATGAAGTTTATCCCTTCAAAAATAGCAAAGTTACAGTCAGTTACTGCCAAAAACAATGAAAATTTCAATAATTTGACCTTCAAAGGCAATGTCATTAATGAGTGAAGGTCAAGGTCTTTCGGTATATTTTTAACAGTTATCTTTGAAGATTATTTTGTTCAAGTTTGAAGACAATCCATTCAAAAATAACAAAGTTACAGCCAATAATAGCCAAAAAAAATGAAAATTTCAATAACTTGACCTTCAAAGTCAAGGTCATTGAGTGAATGTCAAGGTCTGACTGGTTATTTTTAAGGATATCCTTGAAAATTATTATGTTCAAGTTTGAAGACAATCCATTCAAAAAATAACAAAGTAACAGCCAATAACAGCATGAACAAGCAAAAATTGGACTTTTAACCTTGAAGGTCAAGGTCATTTATGGATGAAGGTCAAGGTTAGTGTGGTCTACTGAAAGGTCTTGTCCAAGGGTTGTTGTGGCCAAGTATGAAGACAATACAGCAAGAAATAAAAAAGTTATGATCCAGGTACAAGTTTTCGGACGGCAACGGCAACGGCAACGGCAACGGAGACGGCAACGGCAACGGCAACGCCGACCTGACTATAACAATACCTCTACTTTTTTTTTCAAAAAAAAAAAAGTCGAGCTAAAAATGATCAATCGTAAAAATACTAACGTGATACTGAAGGAAAACAAGTGTGCACATTTCATTTCCCCTTTTTCGCAGCGAAATCATTCCTTTGCTTTATAGACAAGTAAATGCACTAAAATACTTCGTTACGTGGTACCAATTAATAAGCATGTATCAACTATGTTACACGATCACAAATAGACGATGCGCTATGTGGCAAGGTTAATATGCATGGGCTATTTTTAGATTACATCACCAGTTCAGTAGATTTAAATATAACTCGATCATGCGTGATTTGGTAAGCAGGACCACCCTTTTGAACAATTGAAACGGAACAATTTCGTTTATAATTTATTACGGTAATCATGTAAAAATAGAAATCCTATTTATATAAACAAACTGGGATTACCGAAGTAACTAAAATAGCTTAGATTTCCGTTATATTACTTCGTCTGATTCCGCAGTATGACGGAATCGCCCGAATTGTCACGATTGCAATCGGAACTACATCGGCTATTATCATTAATCCGAAGAGTGACGGAAAAGGCCGAAAGGTTGCGATTGGCACGATTGCGGCTGGTTTCCCGTTCAATCATGCACCAACAGATTTAAGCAGGAAACCACCTAACCGGAACAAGTTTTCCATATGAAATGGCTTGCAGCCGTGGCTGCAAGCCAAAAACATTGTCACATATGATGTAGTTGATGATAAGGAACACATGTTTGAAGTTTAAAGTCAATACTTTAATATGAAATGAAGATGTTAGAGTAAAATATAACATTATTTTAAGTTCAATGGGATATAGTTCTGGAAATACTGGTTTCAGAGTTTTGCACCTTATCAAATGATGTGGATGATGATTAGGAATATACATGTATATTTGAAATTGATACCTTAAGAAATAAAGAAGTTATAGGCGCATAAACATTAATTTAAAGTATGGACGCTGACGAGGTGAGTAGGACAACTCACCACATTCTTAGTAGTCGAGCTAATACTTACCTGGTCATTTTAGTTAAGAGTCTTGCACTTTGCAGTAAAAGTTACATCTAAGAACAGTTTTTTGTTTTTGTTTTTAAGCGAGCCGGGAGGGGGGTTCAGTCAGTAACATGAGTAACAGTGACACTTAACTATTGAACTTTATTTATTATTAATTTAAAAATTATCATAATTTATGTTATAAAGTATATTTACAAATAATTGCTAAGTTTCACAATTCAATTGGGCCACAGACCCATTTACAAAAGAAAGGAGAAAAAACATTGATAAATTTAGTGAGTGTATCTTCTACAGAAATTTGATCCTTCAACGTTGGGGCCATTAGATAAGAATACAGAGGGGCAATTAATAATGACAAAACTCTCAACTCAGTGGACATGTTAATGGGAGATATACAGTTAATAGTGATTTACTAGCTGATAAGCCCTTACTGAGATTCAGCAGGCTGGAAGGGTTTATGCGTAGGACTGCAAAGTAGTTCTCACTCAAAACTGCTTAAAAACCAGCAATTTAAAAGAAAGAATAATTTTTAATGTAGGCATTTAACAAATTACAGTGCATTAAAAGTTTAGATTAGTCAATAGAAATATGAGGTTACAATCGCAAATTTCCCGAATGAATATCTTTTTTACCCAATGAAAAATGTTCGGCTATTTCCGTAAAGCTTCGGATTATCATGAACATCATTTTAATCAATGAAAATGCTATTTTTAGCTATGTCGATTAATGAATACTCCAGAACGTAGTACACAAATAAATCTGACTGTCGAGTAGTGGAATATATACATGTCGGACTGTTTTGGCGAGAAGATTTTCGCTAAATTATTTTCATCAGTGTTAAACAACAGGTTTATCGTGAACAAAATACCTCGAAATTAATAAGGATTGCAAACACAAAATGGAAATTCTCAATTTAGAATTACATAATGTATTCGTTTTTATTCAAGGTACATATGTATTACTTCGCCGTGGTGCAGAGGTAAGCGTTGAGGGTGTGAGAGGCCTATGGTTCAAATCCTAGTCGAGGCAATTCTATTTTTTTTCATGCAAAATTCCATATGTATCAATCTCAAACTGTTATAGAAGAAAATCAAAACGCTGTCGCTGCGTAAGATGAATTATAGTATATAAAAATAAACTTATACAGGAACGTACATACAGATAGTCAGTATGATTTAGATTGCAAAGATCAGAAAATACCATAGAGCTGCAGCCCTTTGATTATATATATCTTTATGCAAAAACTAATTATTGATTTGAATTTCAACAAGAGCTGTCAGAAGGACAGCGCGCTCGACTTTTTTAGTGCTTGCCTATAAAACAAAACTTTGACAGTTAAGGGCACACAAGACTTTAACTAGGAATTTCTAAGTACAAATCAAGAAACATTTTCACAGAGTTATCTTCTCTTGCTTACAGATAGGTCTCATGATGGCACATAAGAACTCCAACTTCCAAAGTAATATCTCAAATGGTTAAGTCAACAAGTGGACAAGAATGAAAATCTTAACTGAGTTTCTAAGTCAAAAAGGGCCATAATTCAAATAAAATCCTTAACAGAATTACCTTCTCCTGCCCATGTTTTGGGACCATGATGGTAAACAAGTATTCCAACTTTCAATTAATATCTCAAACAGTTCAGTCAAAAAGTGGACTGGTACTAAAAAACTTAACCAAGATTCTAAGTCGATAAAAGGCCTTAATTTTTAAAACAAATCCTTGACAGAGTTACCTTCTCTTGCGTACAGATGGGGTAATGATGTGAAATAGCATTAAAAGTTTCAAAGCAATATCTCAAAGGGTTAAGGCAATAAGTGGATTTTACCCATATTCAATGTATTTTCTAAGTCAAAAAGGGGCATAATTCTGTCAAAAACCTTGACAGAGTTATGTCCTCTTGTCTGTTGATGAAGGTCGTGATGGTAAACAAGTATGGTCAGTTTCAAAGCAATACCTCCAATGGTTTTGAAATAAAGTGAGGTGGTACAAAAAACTTAACCAAGCTCAATACACTTTCTAAGTCAAAAAAGGGCCATAATTCTGTCAAAAACCTTGACAGAGTTATGTACTCTTGTCTGTAGATGGAGGTTATGATGGTGAACAAGTATGGTAAGTTTCAAAGCCATACTTGTAATACTTCTGAAATAAAGTGGGGTGGTACGAAAAACTTAACCAAGGTGTGACGCCAACGCTAACGCCGACGCCGAAGCCGGGGCGAGTAGGATAGCTCCCCTTTTCATAGAAAAGTCGAGCTAAAAACTGATACATACTTATGGTATAGTTATAAAACATGATTTAGGAAATGAAGTTGTATACTAACATCAGAATTCATCATTGCTTTGAGCGCCTGCGCCGCATCTAAGTTAGCCAAATCTCTGTCAGACGAGGATGTGGAGAAGTTTTGCATTCTTTGTTGATATGCTTCTTGTCTCACATTTCCTGTAGGTGCACCCACACCGGGTCGTCCTCGTCCCAAAGGTTGTGGCGCCAGCATGCCCCCAGGGATATAACGAGGTTTGTCATCGAACTTCATTTAGTTAATAATATAATTCAATTCAAAGTTTATTGCATAAAGAATATTAATACATTGCCTATAGTACAATACAATTTAACATTTTATGATATGGAGCACAGAGAGTTTGTATACAATGTTTGCAGAAGAGACAATAATGTATGTATAAAAATGAATTTAAACACAAATTCAGAAAATAAATTTCATGATCAATTTTGATACAATATTTACTGTCCTTAAATTCCAGTAGTATAAGAGATCATTATGTAATAACAAATAAAACATGCTTATTATATAAAATTCACATAAAATTTAGGTGCAAAACAGAAAAAACACTTTAATGAAATTCTGCTTACATCAAAGTTTACAAACATGTATTATTTAAATAAAAAGTTGTTAATATATGGGGAAAAAACATTGCTGAATTCTTTTTACCCTTCTATTTCTACGCCGTTTTTCTTTGTTTCGTCTGCGGAAATTCATCTCATCATCACGTCTCTTCTTGAAAATTTCATCTTCAACCTCTCCCAGTTCTTTAAAAATAAGAACAATAAATAATTGAGCAAAGCCATGACAAAACCAACAAAGTGCATTTGCCACCAGCATGGATCCAGACCAGCCTGGGCATCCGCGCAGTCTGATCAGGATCCATGCTGTTCGCTTTCAGTTTCTCTATTTGTTATAGGGTTTGTAAGCGATAACAGCATGGATCCTGATCAGATTGCATGGATGCACAGGCTGGTCTGGATCCATGCTGGTCGCAAATGCAATATATTGGTTTGTCATGGCGCGGCTCATATTTCTTTAAAGGTAAGATTGGGCAGACACTGTGACTGTCAATCTCTGCTAACTATCAAACTCTTCCTACTCTAAATATCTAAAATAGACTTGTCTATCACTCACTCTTCACAAAATAATTCATCATTTTTAGCAAGAGGGCCATGATGGCCCTTATATCGCAAACCTGACTTTTAAAGCTCTTAATTAATATTGTTAGCAATGAATGAAGAGCAGACTTAAACTGATACTATAACGTCCATAGCTGCACCTGAAATACTTCAAACATAAACAAGATTTTTCTATACAGACTGTCATCAAGTTTTCGACTGGAAAAGATCCTTATTCAAACATGACCTAGAGATCATTTAAACAACTTTTATAACAATATGGATAGCTTCCTTGCATGACAAGATCAAACAAGAGGGCCATGATGGCCCTAAAGTAGCTCACCTGTATATAGGCCCCCGGAGCAGGGCCAGTTTAAACCCCAGGGCTTTTATTTGAACAAACTTGGTAGACACCCATTAGAAAATGTTTCATGCTAAACATCTAAAGTCTAGCTTGTTGGGTTTTTTAAAAGAAGATTTTTTCAAGTTTTTTTTCTTTACACATATAGTTAAAAACAATGACACACCTGGCGCAGGGCCAGTTTTGACCCCAGGGCTTTTATTTGAACAAACTTTGTAGACACTTACTAGACAATGTTTAATGCTTAATATCTGAACTCTAGCTATTCAGGTTTTTTTCAAAGAAGATCTTTAAGTTTTTGCTATACACATATAAGGAAAATCGATGTTCCCTGGGACAGGGCCAATTTTGACCCCAGGGCTTTTATTTGAACAAACTTTGTAGACACTCACTAGAAGATGCTTCGTGCTTAATATCTAAACTCTAGCTATTTGAGTTTTTTCAATGAACATTTTGTTAGTTTTTGTCATACACATATAAGGAAAATGAATGACCCCAGGGGCGGGGCCAATTTTGACCCCAGGGCTTTTATTTGAACAAACTTGGTAGACACTCACTAGAAGATGTTTCATGCTTAGTATCTAAACTCTAGCTATTTGTTTTTTTTTCAAAAAAGATCTTTTAAGTTTTTGTTATTAACATATCAGGAAAATGAATGACCCCGGGGCGGGGCCAATTTTGACCCCAGGGCTCTTATTTGAACGAACTTGGTAGACATCCATTAGAAAATGTTTCATGCTAAAAATCTTAGCTCTAGCTCTTTGCATTTTTTAAAAGATTTTTTTTTAAGTTTTTACTATATGTATATAGGGAAAATCAATGACCCCCTGGGGCGGGGCCAATTTTGACCCCAGGGCTTTTATATGAACAAACTTGGTAGACACTCACTAGAAGATGTTTCATGCCAAATATCTAAGCTCTAGCTCTTTGGGTTTTTTAGAAGAAGATATTTAAAGTTTTTTCTTTTGGTTGCCATGGCGACCAGAGTTCTGCATGGAATGGAATTCTTTGAACAACTTTGTTAAGGCTTCACACAAGGAACATCCCTGTGAAGTTTCATTATGATCTGCCTTATGGTTTCAGAGGAGATGTCGTTTTAAAAGTGTGAACGGACAACGGACGGGGACGACGGATGAAGAGTGATCCTAATAGCTCACCCTGAGCATATGCTCAGGTGAGCTAAAAACAGAATTTGAACTGACTTTGGTGTGGGGCAAGAGGTTCCTAGCAAGTACTCCAAGGCAACTTAAAACAAGTCTAAAATTGCATTTATTAAACAAGAAATGTCAATAACAAATATACCCTTGCCTCATACTATTGATAATTTTGTTATAGAAATGGATACATGGCAGTGTTCAGTTATGGAAAAAAGAAAAATAATGACCAACTACTTATAACCAATCAATATGTAAAATATAAATGCCTTGACCTTTGAACTAGTGACCCTATTATGACTAATCGATATGTGAAATATGAAGACTTCGTGATAAAAAGTTTTCAAAGTAATGAGCTGAAACCATATTGACATTTAAAGCCTCTATGACCTTGACCTTTGACCTAGTAACTGCAAAATCAATAAGGGGCCATCTACTAGTTATGACCGATTGATGTGTGAAATATGAAGACTTCTTGATAAATAATTTTCCAGATTATCAGTGGAAACCATGTGGTCTACCTATGGAAAGACAGACTGATCAACTAAGCAAAACAATTTACCCCCTCTTCTTCAAAGGGGGGCATAATAAGAACAATGGAAATGCTTAATTAATGAGAAAATTATCCCTTTTTTATCAGATTAGATGAGAAGTTTATGTTTCTTTGGGTTTTACATAATCCTGAATCCTTAAGTGAAGTTAAAAATCTTTTGTTTCTCAACACGTGACAGTTCTCTCTCTTCTTGCTAAACAAGTGTTAAACAGAGACCAATTTATTCAAAATCCTGCCTATAATATCATATGTCTAAGCAATACATACCTTGCATAATAAGCTGAACTCTTTCCAAGGCCACAACACCACTGTCTGTAAGGTATCCCTGTTTAATATGATTATATACATACAGACATAGTTTTTTATATATTAACACATAGCCTGGCAAATTTCTGAAATGGACTAACAAAGCTCCAAAGTACATGTATATCAAGCTATCCTACAAGTGACATTATGCTCATATTTTTACAGCCAAGTACAGCTGAATTGTCTTAATATTTCAAAAGTTTGACTGTTAAAATGGTGTTTGAACAACAATTAATAGTGGATCAATGTTCAGGATAAAATTTAAAACTGCCTAAAGAATAAAAAGACTGCCCCACTCTTTTTTATAATCTGAAGGTAACAGGTAAATTCTTATGGATATTTACAGAAATTTTGCTTGGATCCTTGCATTATTTATTGTTTATGCAAAGTAAATTATTTAATTAAAAGAAATTATGACAGATTAAAAAATTATTTTGACTTTCATTTGTCCACTCACTATCTATCCTTGGATGGGCATAATGTCACTTTTATCAACGTACTTACATCTTTCCAATAAGAAAATCCCGAATTCCCCGCCCATATCATTTAACCCTTACAATGCTAAATATCTTAAATGGACTTTTTCATCTTTCAATCTGAACCTAACCATTGAAAATGTGAAAAAAATGAGCCGCGTCACGACAAAACCAACATAGTGGGTTTGCGACCAGCATGGATCCAGACCAGCCTGCGCATCCGTGCAGTCTGATCAGGATCCATGCTATTCGTTATCAATTTCTCTACTTGTTATAGGGTTTGTAAGCGAACAGCATGGATCCTGATCAGACTGCGCAGATGCGCAGGCTGGTCTGGATCCATGCTGGTAGCAAACCCACTATGTTGGTTTTGTCGTGACGCGGCTCAAATGTACAGCCTAAACATCAAACAGAGCTGACCATGATCAGACAGCACTGGTCATGTTTATTTAATTGGGTTTTACGTCACACCGACACTTTATAGGTCATATGGCGACGTTCCAGCTTTACTGGTGGAGGAAGACCTCATGTGCGCTTCCGTGCATTATTTCAGGCACAGCACGAACGGGCACCTGAGTAGAACCACCGACGTTCCGTAAGATAGCTGGATAGCTTCCTCACATGAAAGAATCCCAAGTCCCTGTCAGGATTCGAACCCACAGTGGTGAGGGGCAAGTGGTCACATGGGTAGACTGAATTGCTGCCAGCTGCTGAGGCTTAAAATAATTGTGGAAAATGAATGATGTTACATATGACAATGAATGAATGCTGTTTTTACAAGTGTTTAGAAATCTTTTTTTGGCACCCTGACCTACTCGTCCTACTGACCCCTAAATCAATCCAAAGGAGTAAAACCATGCAAGTAATATTCATACCAAATATGAAAGACATCTATTAATAAATAAAGACTGAATGGGCAAAAGTGTAAATATCTATTTTTAGCACTAATGACCTTGATCCAAGTGACCCCTAACTTAATCCAAAGAAAGAATACCACACAAGTTATCATCCTACCAATATGAAAAACATTAGTCAACAAGCAATTATCATAGTATTGCAAGCAATCCATAAGTCCCCTACCGGTAAGAGCCCAAGCAACATTCTGCAGGGCCATTGGCCATTCACTTATGTTCCTATTTTAAGTAAATTTGTTAAAAAAGTTATTTAAAAGTTATCACAGGAAACAGTTTTTATGTACAGACAGACAGACTGAAGGACACTCTAAAGTTATTTTTTAAACATCCCTGTTATCAAAATATAACATTTTTAAAATCCTATCATGATTGAAGAAGTTGGAGTAAAAATTACCAATTTCTCAAAAAAAAAGTATAAGTTCAAAAGGGGCATAATTCTGGAAATAGTCTTGCTAGAGTATTGAACACTCACAAATGTTGAGTGATAATAAGAAACATTTATATGAAGTTTGAAGTAGATACATTAAAAAAAGAAGTTATTAAAAAAAACAATGTTTTTTACATGAAAATTTTAAGTTCAAGGGAGGTAATTCTGATAAATTTTGTGCTAGAGTTGTAAACCTTGTCACATATGATGTGGTTGATGACAAGCAACTTATATTTAAAGTTTGAAGAAAATACCTTAAGAAATAAAGAACTTATAGTGGAAAAACTTAAAAAATAGAATCAGAAATCTTGAAATTCAGTCTATTTGTTGCCATAGCAACCAGAATTTTCAACATAGGAAGATAAGAAAAGGATGTGCATAATTTCCATACTGCCATCTACCCATATGTCAAGTTTCATAAACATATTTTCAGTACTTTTTGTGTTATCACTGGATCCAGGTTATGTGTAAAATTTGCCATATTTTCAGTCTATTTGTTGCCATAGCAACCAGAATTTTCAACATAGGAAGAAAAGAAAAAGATGTGCATAATCTCCATACTGCCATCTATCCATAAATCAAGTTTCATAAAAATATTTTCAGTACTTTTTGCGTTATCGCGGGATCCAGGTTATGTGTAAAATTTGCCATATTTTCAGTCTATTTGTTGCCATAGCAACCAGAATTTTCAACATAGGAAGAAAAGAAAAAGACGTGCATAATCTCCATACTGCCATCTATCCATATATCAAGTTTCATTAAAATATTTTCAGTACTTTTTGCGTTATCGAGGGATCCAGTTTTGTGGACGGACGGACTGACGGACGGACAGACGGACGTACCAACTTTTGATATTTAAGAGGTAAATCAGCTCATAAACTACACCTGGACCAAAGTCCATAAGCAAGATCAGCTCCTAAAATCAAAAAAATAGCTCTTAATTTGAATTTTATGAGCTTTTGTTCTTTATTTAACTACGGAATGAAGCTCATAAATATCAAATGTTTGCTCGGACTGACGGACAGACGGACGGAGGGTAAACCTAAAGTCCCCTCCGGTAAGGGGACTAATAAATAAAAGCTGTTTAAGCAAAATAAAAGCTGTTTAAGCAAATATGTAGAAATCTATTTTTGGCCCCTTGACCTGTTATATGGATTACTATCAAACAAACTCATATGTAAAAACATCTCCTAGACCCAGTGCTTGAAGTCCAGAGACCTTATGATCTCCACTGAGCTTATATAGCCTGGTATACTGTATTTTAGAGGAAAATATTAGCCAACCAAAACCCCACCCAACATCGAGATGAGGCCAACACTTAATTTAAAATTCTGTTCTGGTAACCCTAATCATACATTTTTTATGAATATCATTAACATAACAATTTTGTGTTCTCATTAGCAATTATAAGAAATGACTGAAATATATCAATTTACAATTTATACCACTTTTCAGTGTGATATTTCTAAATTTCATTAATAATATGAGGGAAAATAATAATAAAGATAATAAAATATTTTTCTTACATTAACATCAACAAATAGACTTATGAACAACTAAATAATACTTAAATGTTACATTATTTTTGTCTTTATACATAAAAATCTTCAACCATATATCAAATATAATGTGAATGATTGTAAATTTATCTTACCCCAGTCCTTCTGACAGCATTCTTATACAGCTTTATCAATCTGTCTATAGCACCTTCCCTGTAAAATATCATCAATTTCTGTTGTTGTTTTTAGGTTAATTCAACTCATTTATGGATAATTAAAGTGACATTATGCTCATTTTTTCATTGTCAACTTGAGCTGAATGGACCATATATTTCTAAAGATTGACTGTTATAATGGTGTTTGAACAACAGTTGATAGTGGAAATATTTAGGATAAATCTAATTCTGTCTGAAATATAAAAAGACTGCCCCACTCTTTTTTATAACAAAAAAATTGAAATGCTACAGGTATATTCCGATGAATATTTACAGAAATTTCCTTGGGCGTGTGCTTTTTTATTATTGTTTGTGCAAAGTAAATTGTAAAATATGATAAACAAGATCAACAAGTAAAGGCAGCGTCAATGTACGCAACCCCCACATGACCCAGCAACAAGAATCAGTGTAAAATTGTAAGGAATTATGGAAAATGTAAACTTATTCTCACTTTCACTGATTAACAAACTTTATATCCTTGGATGGGCATAATGTCACTTGAAAGAGTAATCACCTAATTCTCCGCAAGTTTCAGGTAAATTATCCCAATCCCAATGAACCAGAGGTGAGAGACAAATGAACATTAGACTAAATGTCCATGATAAGTTAGACAGTATACAAAACCATGCTTGCCCCTGAAACTTAAAGGCATCATATATAAATATAAACCATGCTAGCCATTTCAAGGCAATATTCAAAACCATGCCTGCTACTTAAGGGTAGAATATACAACCAAAGTCTTATGAAGATAACATTATCAGGGCTCGAGCTAGTGGGCGATTCGGGCGAAATAGTCGCCGAATTCCATCCGACTTCGCCGACATCCTACATGAAAGCGAAGATGAAGTCGCCCGATTTTATTGATCCATTATTGAAAATTACCAACAATAACTGTGGATAACATGTGGTGTGTGTTTGCTTTGTTTACCCTCGCCGCCGGAAAAAGGGACTGTCATGCATCTCAATCAACGCGAATGTCTTTAATCCGTTTGTTTACCAACATGTCATAAAAGTCTAATTAACAGACGCTCGAGGAACAATTAGACTCCGCCCACGGCGAGATTACCGATACGTGCGAGAAACCAATCGTAATTCACGTTTTAATCGAGGCGACATTATTTAACCAATCATTAAATCGCTAACATACAACTACCTGTAACAATTATTTATGATGGACGGATCAAACGTCAATTAAATTTTCACTATCGAATGATTGTCAGAATTAAGCGAAACCGCTCGACATATAACTGTAACGGTAATTTTAAATGAAAGTTATGATAACCTTTTTTGTCGACGAGTTAAATTTGATAAGATTAACGGCGTATTACAATGTATTTATTACAAATGAAGTGAAATTAAAGATCATTTCTTTCGTTATCTACTTTTATTTTCTTTACAACATAAGTGAATATGAATATAATGTCCGGCGCAAGCTTTTTAATAGTAAATCAGAACCACCCATGATATGATCCATGATAGGAATCAACTATGGCTTTTTTTATCTTCATTTAATGCAATGGTTGCATTACATGATACTCATTCTTATTACTTGTTTCAAACTACTTTTAAACAGAGACATAGATAACAATAGTTATAATAATAGCTATCTATGTCTCTGTTTTAAATTAAAATTGAATATTCTGTTGTAACACAAATCCAATTCATTTAATAAGATATGTAGTGAGTCAACATAATTGCGATAACATACAACAAACATCGATAAATGAATCTCCTCACTTCTCCCTAAAGTCTCCCCACTTCTCCCTAAATCAGCTGGAGGGAGAAGTGACTTCTCACTAAATTTTGAACCTAGCTTGAGCCCTGATTATCCATTTTTGATCATCCTATTTAAAGTTTGACCGTTTTAATTGTAAGTTTTAAAAGTAGACTCTAGTCTATCACGCTTCTTCGTATTTCATCATATATATGAGCCGCGTCACTACAAAACCAACATAATGGGTTTGCGACCAGCATGGATCCAGACCAGCCTGCACATCCGCGCAGTCTGATCAGGATCCAGGCTGTTCGCTTACAAACTCTATAACAAGTAGAGAAATTGATAGCGAACATCATGTATCCTGATCAGACTGCGCGGATGCATTCGTGTAGAACAATATCTTCCAACTTCTTAGACCAAATGTCATGAACTGAATAAATAAACAGACACATCAATTTGGCACCAAAATTATTCAACAAAAGCACTGGATGCGCTGTAAAGATGATCTGTTAAAATAACCACTTTTGACAAAAATTCTAAGTTAAAAAGGGGGATTACTCAAAAAATATAGCTTTCAAAATTATGCCCTTTGTCTAACAACTACAACTTTCTCAAGATAAGCAAGTATATTAAGTCTCATGTTGATAATTTTAAAATTTGAATAAATGACCACATTAAAGTTTTTGCCCCAAAGACATTGGCAACGACAAAGATGACCATGATGCAGCGATCATAATAGCTGTTGAATTTTTCTTCGAAAACAGACCTGCTACTAACAACACCTATACATCTGACTGCCTCAGTTTGCCTTGTGAAAATCTGTGACAAATTTTTTTGTTGCACACATATCATCGTAATTACATTCTACCTACAGTTAAAATATATGGTAGGCATTTGTATAAGAAACAATCAATCACTTGTGTTATGTGTTGATCATATTTTGTGACTTATCCAAACCAAATCCATTCCCTTAAAACTGATAAAATAGACAAAAAACAAATCCCTTAAATAGCCCAACACGTTAAAATGGATAATGTTGCAGGCTTGATTTGATTAAGCCTTTTCATGGACGTTAATGGTAATTTCAAGCTGCCGTCCACATCCACTAGCACAAGCTTAAGCAGAATTCAACCTTTAACATGAACTGATAAAATTTTGAATTTTGAAACTCTTTTGAAACTCTCATATTCAGATCTATTCTATTGCCCACAAATCCATGCTTGATTAAATACAAAATGCTCGACATTCTTCAAATATAGACGTGCACGATAAGCGTGTACCGATAAAGTGCATTCTACCCAAACCATGTCAGACTGCTCAAAAGTGACAGTTTGAGCCATGTCATGACAAAACCAACATAATGGGTTTGCAACCAGCATGGATCCAGACCAGCCTGCACATCCGCCCAGTCTGATCAGGATCCATGCTGTTCGCTTACAAACCCTATTACAAGTAGAGAAACTGATAGCGAACAGCATGGATCCTGATCAGACTGCGCGGATGCGCAGGCTGGTCTGGATCCATGCTGGTCGCAAACCCATTATGTTGGTTTTGTCATGACACGGCTCGTTTATTTTTTGGTTTAAATATTAAACATTTACCTTATTTCTAGAGATGGCAAGTGTGGTAAGAAATCATTCCCAACAAAGAAACACATAAATACCCAGTCGTCTAAAGCTCTCTGAAATTGGAAAACAAAATAACATGAATCTCTTTTGCATTTTTCTTGATTCAACTAAAAGCAGTTTTTTAACAAAATCTTGGACGGATATCATTCATTTGATTTTCATCCGAGTTTTTTCTGTAACTGTATAATTTCGCACCCTATGGACCAAGAAGTCCTGTTTACTGGTTACCTGAGTAAGTGCAAGTACTAATTTGTTGCAAAAGCAAGAGCTTCGTTAATTGAAACACATATGAAAACTAATTTTTGGCTTAATGACCTTGACCTTAGTTACCTCAAATTCATTGGTGTACAGTATTTCCATTCAAGCCAATAAATGAGTTATTCAGTATAAACTTATTGCAATTCAGAAATCAATTTTAGTATATTCTCAATGATTTTATATTTCTTACAAGCAGTTTGACTTTTCAGCATAAATGTTTTTGTTTTTTGTGTGAAGAAAACAACAAAAAACATTCATAATTATATGTTATCACTGCCTTAAAGATTTGTTAAAATTTGTCATTTTCTTATAATATCGCACTTACTTCAATCTAATTGAAATGTTTTGTTTGCTGCATCAAAATGTAAAATAAAAATCACATAGTACAGGCTTTAAGAATACAAATCCTGACCCTTTACATGTATAATCATTACAAAATGAATTATCATTTGTATATTCTTTGCCAACTTTAGATGAACATAATTAATACCTCGAAGTCGTAAGGAAATGGCAGGCCATTCATCTGAAGCTCTCTTTCTAAATATTCTCGAAGTATATTTAGGCGTAGAAATATGAAAGGTGTTTCGTCGGCAAACACGGGTGCTTTCTGGTCAAACTCGCCACTTTTCTCCTTCTCTATTCCCTGACATTCCTTCAGTTCATGACCTAACAGAAAACAAAATTGTAACACACTTTTGCACCATATCTCATCATAAACATGTCTTTATACTCAATCAAATTAAAACCACGAAACAAGTGATAGACTTATAAATCTTTATTTTTGGCATAACTGGCTAAGAAACATCAGACCAAATGAATGATTATATGATAAATATAACTAAAACTGGAAATAAGACATAAAACATGTTAAAACCATTAAGTCTGGTGTAGTCCGAGCCAGTATGCCTCCTTCTTTCTTGGTATTGGCTTACGAGCCTAATCCCCATGAGAGGCATACTGACAAGATCTTAACCAGAAGGCATTGCTCTTCAAGGTGAGAGGCAGGGATGGATGGTGGTGTAAAATTATTTTTCTAAATTAATGTGCGTGTGAACAAAGAGCGCTGTGGAAATCGAGAGGCTGCATACGTATTGCTGCTGATGCGGGTCCTACTTTGTTGATAAGGGAGCTGAATTTAGTCATGTGGTATTAGAAACCGGATATAGGTCAAGTACCGACAATGTAAACATCAAATCGAAAGTAGAATTAATTTAGATCTTTCATAAACCGCGTTTACTACGTAAACTTCAATTTATACTCAATCAAATTAAAACCACGAAACAAGTGATAGACTTATAAATCTTTATTTTTGGCATAACTGGCTAAGAAACATCAGACCAAATGAATGATTATATGATAAATATAACTAAAACTGGAAATAAGACATAAAACATGTTAAAACCATTAAGTCTGGTGTAGTCCGAGCCAGTATGCCTCCTTCTTTCTTGGTATTGGCTTACGAGCCTAATCCCCAAAAGAACATGGATGATAGCAAAGTGTAACTCAAATATTATCCATCAATACAAGAGCAATCAGTAATCACATGTGTCGCCTCATGATAGCCAATTTTATGTAGGCACAAGTTTTGTGACAGACAGACAGACAGACAGACGGACAGTGCACAACTAGACTTGGTACTGATCATTCCTGTAAAGTTTGGATAAAATTGCACCAGTAGTTTATGAGGAGTAGTCCGGACAAGCTTTTGTGTATCTGGCAACACACAGAAAAAAACACCTTTTTATCAAAGGGCCATAACTCGGCCAAAAATCATTCAACTGGAAAACCCGTGCAATATGCACAAGGACTTGAGCTACAGATCAATCCTGTAAAGTTTCATTGAAATTGCATTAGTGGTATAAGAGAAGTAGTCCGGACAAACTTTAAAAATAAAAATTATTAAAGGGCCATAACTCTGACAAAAATCATTGAACCGGAAAATGCTGACAATATGCACAACTAGACTTGGTACTGATCATTCCTGTAAAGTTTGGATGAAATTGCACCAGTAGTTTATGAGGAGTAGTCCGGACAAGTTTTGTGACGGACAGACGGACGTTCCTACTGAGTTGACATTATGGGGTTTTTTCTTTGATCTCCTTTGATCTCTAAAACCCCATAAGCAACGTATTTGCACCCCATAAGCAACCTTTTTCCTCACAAGTACCGTCTATACGGATTGAACATGGATATTCACCCCACATCGTCATTTCAGTGAGCTCGGACAGACAGACGACGGAGAAGTGATCCCTATATGTCGCCACTACTCCATAGAGGCGACACAAAAAATGAACAAAATTTTCACAGTTCTTTCCTAGTGCAGGATTGGCTAAAGGCAATGCCAACTGATATTTTTTTTACTTACCTCTTTTGCCTTTTTAATACCTATAATAATGAACTGTTGTAGTTAGAATTAATATGAACTAGAAATGTGTCCATAGGACACGGATGCCCCCACATGCCACTGTTCTGTCAATCTTATGACTCTAGGTCAAATATTTTTGGGACTACATGTGCCACAAGTTGAAAACTAAAAATCAACAAAGGGCCATAATTCTGTTAAATTTGGTCGCAGCAAAAATTCCTTCCTTTACTACCATCTACACATTAAGGTTGTTAATCCCTGGAAGTTTAAGCAAAATCTGCCATCCAGTTTAAGAGGAGTTGCGTTCACAAAATTTCTACATAGTATATAATGAAAAAAAATCAACAAAGGGCCACAATTCTGTTAAATTTGGTTGCAGCAAAAATTCCTTCCTTTACTGCCATCTACACATTAAGGTTGTTCATCCCTGGAAGTTTAAGCAAAATCTGCCATCCGGTTTAAACGGAGTTGCATTCACAAAATTTCTACATAGTATATAGTGAAAAAATCAACAAAGGGCCATAATTCTGTAAAATTTGGTCGCAGCAAAAATTCCTTCCTTTACTACCATCTACACCTTAAGGTTGTTCATCCCAGTAAGTTTAAGCAAAATCTGCAATCCGGTTTAAGAGGAGTTGTGTTCACAAAATTTCTACATAGTATATAGTGAAAAAATCAACAAAGGGCCATAATTCTGTTAAATTTGGTCGCAGCAAAAATTCCTTCCTTTACTACCATCTACACATTAAGGTTGTTCATCCCTGTAAGTTTAAGCAAAATCTGCCATCTGGTTTAAGAGGAGTTGCGTTCACAAAATTTCTACATAGTATATAATGAAAAAAAATCAACAAAGGGCCATTATTCTGTTAAATTTGGTCGCAGCAAAAATTCCTTCCTTTACTATCATCTACACATTAAGGTTGTTCATCCCTGTAAGTTTAAGCAAAATCTGCCATCCGGTTTAAGAGGAGTTGCGTTCACAAAATTTCTACATAGTATCTAGTGAAAAAATCAACAAAGGGCCATAATTCTGTTAAATTTGGTGGCAGCGAAAATTCCTTCCTTTACTACCATCTACACATTAAGGTTGTTCATCCCTGTAAGTTTAAGCAAAATCTGCTATCTGGTTTAAGAGGAGTTGCGTTCACAAGATTTCGGGATGTACGGACGGACTGACGGACGGACTGACGGACGGACGGACAAGTGCAATGCTATATGCTCCCACATTGTGGGGGCATAAAAAGTTATATTCGTATATTCCTATACCCTATATTTTACAGTCGAATAAAGGCTGTTTCCTCTGGGGTAAAATAATAACATTTTCCCCTAAAAATGCTATATTTTCCCCTGAAATGTGAATATTCCTCATCAGAGCAATGGCTTAACGGCAGCTGACTCATATCAGGTTATTGATAAATTTAATTGACTGAAAGACAGAAAGTTGTCCCTACATATATATGTAGCAACTGCTATGTACCATGCATGTTAAAATAAATTGAAATTGAAAATTTTATCAAATGTGTGGGTAAATTCCATTCTCATTTGTTGGAATTTAAGGTTTTCCGATTTATCATGCTATATTTCCCCCTATAGGAAGCCACAGGCTGTTTTGAAAACTTAAAAAAAAAAAAAAATCACTGCTATAATTATTATGTCACCTGTGATTAAAAATAAAAGATGGTTGTTTTGATAAGAAATTTGAAACCACTTGCCACCTTTCTGTGAATTCACTGTTTTCCTTCATTTGTATGTTCATGTATATATATTTTTCAATGATATACATGTTTTTCATAAACAGGTACTAAACTATTTCATTGTGGACTAATGGACGTATCTTCATTGTCAATAGCTTTAGAAATATACAATGTATCAACTTACCAATCTGACCACACAGACTGCAAGGGCGTGGTTTATTTGGCTTGAACTCCTCCCTGATGATGGTAAAGTATGGTTCATGTGTAGCCAGACCTTCACAGACAAATAAAATACATTGTAAAAAAATCATATTCTAAAATATGGTCGTAAAAAATAAAATAAAAAAAATTGCAAAATAAAATAGGAACCAAAGAAACTCAACACACATCATTTTAAATTAATGGTTGATTTGTTTAGTATTATCAATTTTTAAAGAAAATTTATCATAAAGCTGTGTGTTTTGTCAAGATTTCTGGTACATGCATGACGCTTTCAACATTCAGGAATTATATAAAATATACAGCTAAATGTTAATGTTTAGATAATGATTCTTAACTGTAAGATTTTTTGTAAAGGGGTGGGGGGTGGGTATTAAATTACATAACAACTTACCTAACATGATCAAATCAGCTGAAAAAAAAAATGCAAAAGTTATTACATTATTGCACTCTTTGTAAATGTGTTACATTCTTTGCTTGTGTCAGAAGCTTTTAACTAATATAATTTGTTGTTGTTATAAATATAATTACAGGATAAACAATAGTTTTAAAGATGTAAATTGGAACCGTTTTGGCAGAAAAACTATATTTCAGATGTTATGATTACATTTCTATTTTAAGTTGGTATCTAATTATGTTAAATTCAAATCTAGCATATCTGACATTCAGTGAAGTAGGTTCTCTGACAGATATGTTTCAAGGTAAATTTAGATTCAGTATTTTGTTTTTTTGCTTTGATTAGGTTTTACTTCACACCTAGACAATATAGGTCATATGGCGATATTCCAACTATACTGGTGGAGGAAGACCTCAGGTTGCCTTCCGTGCATTATTTCAGGCACAAACAGGCACCTGAGCAGAACCACCGACGTTCCGTAAGCTAGCTGAATAGCTTCCTCTCATGAAAGAAACCTGTCTGGATTTGAACCCACAGCGGTGAGAGACAGGTGGCTTGAAGTCAACGACCTTAACCACTTGGTCACAGAAGCCAAAGTCTAAGTAGAATATTTATCATAAGCAAGTCTTTCAATTAAATCAATACAAGAACATGATTTTTACAAAGATTTTCTCTGCACCCTCTACCAGGTGAATTTTGAAACAAATTTACCCTGCTTTGCATTCGAATCAATCCATTTGAATTTTAAGGAATTTCAAAGCACTTGCAGTGTTTACACTTATATGGTAACCAATTTTAGCAAAAAATTTAAATTCAAAAGGTCATAACTTCTAAAACTAGTTTTCAGAGTTATTCCCCTTAACTTACACATGCACCTTGTCATAATAAGTAACTTTTCCAATTTTCATGAAGATAACTTTTAAAAAAAAATTTAATAAAGGGCTACATTAAAATTTTTGCATGATGACGCAACAATCACAATAGCTAGACTTTTTTCAAAACAGGCTAGCTAAAAATATTGCTATCTACAATAAAGAACCTGATCAGACTGCACAGATTAGCAGTCTGGACTGGCTCCATACTTATGGCATAAGGCCTAAAATAAAATATCATTTGTTTCCCGCTATCTATCCACAAAAATCACAGCTACCCAAAAAATTGTATTGCCTACCAAAAAACAACATTATCTATTTTACTAAACATGAAAGCAGAGCCTGTCAATTACAATCACATCTTTATATCTGTCTGATGTTGTTTTAATTGCAAATATACAAACTGGGATAAAATTATATGTTGAAAAATATGAAAATATTGTTCTAATCTTTAAACAAATGCTAAACATGCACAATTTGTTTTGAACTCCAAATACTTAACTTTCCATAGGAAAAAACAAGAGCCGGTTGAACCGGGTGATGCTCCCCGAATAGGTTTTGGACACAGGAAGGTATACTTCTTGTTGTGTCAGAGTTATGTCACAGACAAAGTTCAAAGTGTAAAAACAACCCAAATATTGTGCACGACACATTGTCTCAATATGGTGATCATTTTGTGAAATAGTTGTAAAATCCGATTTCAAATAACAAAGTTATGCGCCTGACATTATTTTGCTGCAAGGTCATGCTGTGACCTTAACCTTCAAGATAGTGACCCAAATGTTGCATGCGACACGTCAATTCAATATGGTGATCATCTCTGTCAAATAGTTGTTAAATCCGACTTCCAGTAACAAAGTTATGGGCCGGACACGATTTTGCTGCAAGGTCATACCGTGACCTTGACCTTCAAGGTAGCGACCCAAATGTTGCGCGCGACACAATGTCTAATTGTGGTGATCATTTCTGTGAAATAGTTGTAAAATCCGACTTCAAATAATGAATTTTGCTGCAAGGTCATGCTGTGACCTTGACCTTCAAGGTAGCGAGCCAAAAGTTGTGCTTGACACGCCATTTTAATATGGTGATCATTTCTGTGAAATAGTTAAAAAATCTAACTTCAAATAGCGAAGTTATGGGCCGGACACGATTTTGCTGCAAGGTCATGCTGTGACCTTGACCTTCAGGTAGCGACCCACATGTTGCGCGCGACACATCGTCTCAATATGGTGATCATTTCTGTGCAATATTTTTTAAATCCGACTTCAAATAACAAAGTTATGGATCGGACACGATTTTGCTGCAAGGTCATGCTGTGACCTTGACCTTCAAGGTAGAGACCCAAATGTTTCGCGCGACACGTCGTCTCAATATGGTGATCATTTCTGTGAAATATTTTTAAAATCTAACTTCAAATAACAAAGTTATGGACCGGACACGATTTTGCTGCAAGGTCATGCTGTGACCTTGACCTTCAAGGTAGCGACCCAAATGTTGCGCGCGACACGTCGTCTCAATATGGTGATCATTTCTGTGAAATAGTTGTAAAATCCGACTTCAAATAACGAAGTTATGGGCCGGACACGATTTTGCTGCAAGGTCATGCTGTGACCTTGATCTTCAAGGTAGCGACCCAAATGTTGCGCGCAACACGTCGTCTCAATATGGTGATCATTTCTGTGAAATAATTTTAAAATCCGACTTCAAATAACAAAGTTATGGGCCGGACACGAATTCGGGACGTACGTACGTACGGACGGACGGACAACCCGACGACTATATGCTCCCCCGAAATTTTTCGGGGAGCATAAAAAATAATTCATTTTTGGATTAAAATTTTTTTATTTTTTTAAATTATTGACCTTCCTACCCTACACAAACTGACATGGGTTGCAGGAGTGGAAACAAAGATAATTTCAACGCTTGTCTAAGCTAATCACTATTGGTTACAGCAGGGTATGGGTTAAGTCCCTTACTTTAGAGAAAAGTGAAACCACAAGAATGAAATTCTTTGTTTTGTCCTCAGTCAACACTGAATTGACATTCAGCAATTAGCAAATATCTGTATCCTTAAAATAATGATGACAGTTTGTTTGTTTTTTTATTTAGGACAAGTAGCAATCACTTGAAAAGAATTTCTTCAAAGCAAAATGAAGGATAATAACTAACTCACCATCGGCCCCACAGAGACAGTGCTTAGTGTTTGGATCATGGTCTGGTTGTGCTGAAAATATACACCAAATAACAAATATACCAAACAAATAGTATACCAAATAAGTATACCAAATAACAAATATACCAAAACAAAGCAAGAAGTATACCAAATAAGTAGTAAATCAAATAAGTAAAATGTAAAATTATTCATATACCAAATTTGAAGTATTCCAAATACCTAATTTATCAACAATCTTATCAAATTATACCATATACCAACATAAATATTCAAGTTACTCTTTTACAAGGGGTCTGTACTTTAATGTCTTAAAAGGGTGGAAAAGCCTTCATTAATCACAGGCTGTATACAGTTACAGTAATGCATTTTTTTTTTTCAAATATTATTTTTCAATACATTTTACAAGTACAGTAAAACTTTGGTATGACGAAGTTGAAGGGACTTGTGTAAAAACTACTACACATCGCGACCACAACTCATGAACCAGTCTCTATTTAATGAGCGTTTGACGTTTGCAAACAAGTTACAAAAGGAATAACAAAAGGGTGATAACTAAACCAGCCTTAAGTAAATGTATCACCTGTGATTATCACCCGACAACTGGTCACGGAAGTTCAGAAACGAAACTAATTTGTACTGTTTATTTTCAAATACAACTATAGCAATTAGAATAATAACAATTAGAGCATTTTATCATGTGTGAACACATACAAAGGCTGTGTAATTAACACCTGTCATACAAGTTAATCGGAAATTGTCTACACGGCTAGAAAAGGTGTGAAAAATGTCTCAAGCAAAAAGGTGCCAAAATGATCGAAGGACTTCGGCTTATTAGGTAAATTGTACTCGATTTAATCTATATGAACCAAGAGAAAACTTCGGCACATTGAAAAATTCGACACATCGAAAAATTCGACACATAAAATTTTGACTCATGTATAGGTTTCCATAGATATATATAGGGTAAAAAAATTGGGACTTTCATTTTACTTTGACACACCGAGAAAATGGACTAATCTAAGTTCGACTCATAGAAGTTTTACTGTATATACCTCTTTGTTTTCGAATAAAGTCCATGATTTTATGCTCCCCCTCTCCTGGAACATTGGCATCTGACAGAATTACCTTAATACCTTTCCAGCCAGCGTCATTGTTTAATCTATCATGGATGTAGAATCGAAGACAGTTGGCAAGTCGGAACATGAAGGGTGTACCCTGATAAATGAATAACACACATAACTTACAGTAGCAAATGAGAACATTGTGAGCCTTACAAAAATAAATGACATACCCGGTACATTAACAATTATAATAAATGAAAAAATAAATAAATAATGCATATACAAATGATATAACAGTAACAGCCTAGTCAGCTTGCTTGTTTCAAGTTTATACCTATATTGGTTTCATAGAATTTAAAGTTAATGTCATTTTAAAGGAAGACAAGTAATGTAAGTTACAAAGTGAAACTTGGCCTATTATCCCAAAAATGTATATCTTAAGTTTCATGTCAATAATTGACCTGGCTTAATAAAGCTGTGAGGACATAACATGTACTATTTGGAGTCATAAAACTTAAACTGCTGTGCTAATTTGTGACCATCCATACATAGCTCAAGTTCTCTTTACCCTAGCTTTTCAGATACATACTCTAATTATCTCCTTAACCATAAATTTATGGGGTTTTTGTTGTTGTTTTTTTATTATTTTGATATACCATAGGTAGCATGTTCCATTATAACTACTTTAAACTTCATCTCATCAAAGTTTGTGGCTTAACAGCAAAGATAATTTAATTACAAGATAATTAATCGAGAAAAATAATTAACAAAATGCTATCAGTTTCTCTACTTGTAATAGGGTTGGTAAGCGAACAGCATGGATCCTTATCAGACTGCGGGGATGCGCAGTCTGGTCTGGATCCATGCTGGTCGCAAACACACTTTGTTGGTTTTGTCATGATGCAGCTCATATGATGTCACAATAATATACTAACTGGTGTAATACAGTTGCTGTCAAACTTTTCAGAAGCTGGTTTTTCTGGAGGGACACTACAACCTTTTAGTAACAACTCTTCTCTGACACGGGATATCTCTTCTGCTGTCTCACTGTTAAAATGAAAACAAAAAAACAATAAAAAAGACAAAAGAACTTTGTTACGTAGGTATAGTTACTTTTATGTCCAACATAGCTATCCATTGAGAAATAACCCATGTCTTACAAAATCAGTAGGCAAAACAGGTAATGTTTTCTGAATAGAAATTAGAATAAATTTTAAATGCACTGTGTCAAATAATCTTATAGTAATTTATCTCTATACTGAAATACTGTACAACAGTTACCACGTTTGAAAAATAAAACCTAAGTCAAAATGTCGGGCTGATATAAACAAGAAGTATTTTTAAAAGATACCCGGCCGAAGTATTAACTGGTTAACATGAAAAAGTATGTCATTTCTAAGGTTTTGATACAAAAAGAAATGTAAGCTATGCTTGCATAACAATGCCATAAAAATTATTTCTTTTAGCTAAGAAAATACCCATTTTGTATATAGTAGCATGATGATTTTTCAAAGTAGGGCAACTTCTTATTTTAGGTGTGCCTTTTACTTGTTTTACGTTTAACTTTTTAAATTTTGTAATCATTTACAAATTAACCTTAAACTTTATTTTAGAATGACCAATGAAATTCACTGATTTCAGTTTGTAATTTTAAAATGACCAATGGAAATTCTTCTTATAGTCGGTCGTCCCCTGTGAATTTTACAGGAAGGCAAACTGATAACAGACAGACTTTGTCCGAAAAATATAGTTACTCACACTGCCTCCTTTGAAGCCCGGAATCTTCTACTCCTCTGCTGATTCATTTTGGCCCTCGGAGCCTGGAAAAAAAGGAATGTTATACAACTATAATATGCTCTAAGACTGTTCACATGTATTTCTTCAAGATAGCTTGCAAAGAAAGCTCGTAATCTATTTGAACCATTCACAAGGGATGTCTGCTTCCTGGAATTAATTGGTATTGGGAATCACTGATGTGACAGACACTAGTACAGACTGAACCTACAATCCCCGAGTTGAGAGGGAGACACCTTAACAACTAGGTAGTCATTCTCCTTGACTGTTTTAAAGCACTTTGAACAGCAAATAAACAATTCTTTAATAAATACAAAACTGAATAGAAAGTAGGTGATTTGCTTGCCATCTAAATTCTAATGTTTCAGAATTAAAATGATACCATTTAACATATTTGTGGACCACAATGGAAACAAGAGTCTCTCTTTTTTGTGCTATCCTTGGTGCTGGTGTGTATGTCATGGCTTATTTATTCTCATGTACGTTTTAAAGCTGCATGCCTCCAGATGAGCCAAAAATATTTCAACAAAATCAAGCATGAAAAAAATGTACTATTACATAAAATATTTAGAAAAAGTAAAAACAATTAAGCTTCAAGTTAATAATTGCCATGTAATGTGCGATTAATGGCTGAGTTTTCAGTAATTATATCTTTATATTTCTACTGTGTTACTTATGCAGTAAGAGCTTTTTTTGCATAATTTGACCTCATTTTGGTAATAAACATGGCATGTAAGTGCCATTGATAATGTGCAACTTGCTTTCTTTTGGTTTCTTCACAGTTATATACTTCATATTTTTTCATGAAAATCAGTATAAATCTGGAGGCGTGCTGCTTTAAATGTTTGTACCATGCAAGTTGTTTTAGATGTATATGTATTTTATATATGAATTCTATACCAAAAAAAAAATCTAACAATATATTATGTCATTAAATGTGACTTTATGAATATGACAAGCTAAAATGAATTTCAATAATTTCAAGTTTTTTTTCGAAACTCATGCTTTACATAGATACATGTAACTCCTGAACAGCTAAATTTAAGCATCATCAATTAACTATAACTAATTATTGAACTTAAGATAGATTGATATCAAAACATACCACGCCATCTATTGCCATATACAACACCCGTCTTGGTCGCACAATAGAAAATATTCTGTCTATGTACTCAAATATGAGAATCATCATTTCTTCTTCATTTTTAGGAGCTGGCCTGAAAAAAAATACATACTTATTTATAATATATACAATTAAAAAAAAAAAAGTTGAAAATAACACTTTTACTGTTTAAGAATCTAATATTTTGTTCATAGGTGAAAAAAGATATGTTCGTATCAAAATGCTCCTCAGATCGTGTACATGTACGCTGTGTCAAAAACTCTTGGTATGAAGATTAATTGGCATAGTTTATAATATTGTGATACTTCTTTTGCTATTTTTATTGCCAATAAAGGCCATTATATCAAATGGAAAGTAGTTATCTTTCCAAATGTTGGACGGAAATTCCAAATAAAAAAAGTTGTGGTAACAATTGTTTTGTTGTAAAATTTAAGAACTGCTATTATCTTTAGATAAAACAATGTCTTCATACACAGGTGTAATCTGCATTGTAAACAAACAACCCTCGTGTAAATTCATCCACATGGTTTGCATTTTTATTTGAGGCTAAAGATGTGCCAACAAAAACAAGCAAATTCGTTGAATTTATATCCCCCGCCGAGTACTGGTTATTATTAACACAACAACTGAAGACATAAGGTTTTATTTATATATTAATCATGGCATAAACAGTAATATTCTTTGAACTTGATAAATATTCCGGGAAATAACAGAGCCATAACTTTGTGTTAAATAGTAAAATCTGGAAATGCCAATGAGATGTATGCATACTACATAACTAATCAAGGGCCATAAATCTGAGTTATAAGTATCTGACTGGAACAAGGTGACTATATGCACATCTCCTCTTAGTATCCCATAAAGTTTCATTGAATTCCAGCCGGTGGTAGAAGAGAAGTAGCGAGGAAACAAATATTTTTCTATATGGATACTGCATAACTAATCAAGGGCCATAACTCTGAGTTTAAGAGTCTAACCCGAACAAGCCGACGACATGCGCATCTCCTCTTGGTATTGAAGGTTCCCATAAAGTTTCGTTGAATTCCAGCCAGTAGTTGCAGAGAAGTAGCGCGGAAACGATTTTTACTCCATATGCATACTGCATAACTTATCAAGGGCCATAACTCTGAGTTAAAGTGTCTGACAGGAACAAGCCGATGACATGCGCATCTCCTCTTGGTATTGATGATTCCCATAAAGTTTCGTTTAATTCCAGCCAGTAGTTGCAGAGAAGTAGCGCGGAAACGATTTTTACTCTATATGCATACTACATAACTAATCAACGGCAATAACTCCGAGTTAAAGTGTCTGACCGGAACAAGCTAACAATATGCGCATCTCCTCTTGATATTGATGATTCCCATAAAGTTTCGTTGAATTCCAGCCAGCAGTTGCAGAGAACTTCTCCGGAAACGAAATTCAGACGGACGGACGGATGGACGGACGGACAGATGCGCATCTCCTCTTGATATTGATGATTCCCATAAAGTTTCGTTGAATTCCAGCTAGTAGTTGCAGAGAACTACTCCGGAAACGAAATTCGGACGGACGGATGGACGGACGGACGGATGGACGGACGGAACGCCAAAACTATATCCCCCTCCCGATTCCATCGGCGGGGGATAACAACTGATTTGGCCCAAGGTCATAGGGATATTTTAATACACAAGCTGAAAATGCAACCAATTTTAACAGCATTTCAACTGATGATATGGATTGCCAATCTGTTAATATTAAATAAAAACTCTGTGATGATCAATAGAGCAAAACACTTGTTATATACCCAATCTCAGGTCCAATAACCTGAAATATTGGCCTGTTCATAATCCTCAACAATGAAAATAGCCTTACTTATCTTCTGGATGGGTACAGGGATGTATGATTCCATTCATATCCAGATAGAGATTATCAAATTCTGTATCATTCGGATTAGGCTGGCTTGAATCTACAGGAAACTTCACGCCATTCACCTCTCTTGTCTAAAATATATACATAAATAACTCTTTCAAACTTAAATGCAATTTACAACAAACAATCTTTAAGGGTCCTTTGTGCCTCCTTAGCAGTCCTTTGTGTCTTCTTAGCAGTGTTTAGTATGAACCCTGTTGAAAAAGAATCTCTCTTAATTGAAAAAGAAATTAATTATTATTTTAACAAACTCTGCTGAAAAACAAGAGGGCCATGATGTCCCTGAGTCACTCACCAGAAACTACTGCTTTTCAGTGTTGGAATGTCAATATATTCTCATATTAAACATGAGCATAGAATATGTTTAAACAATAATTTGAAGAAATGTCATGACCTGGGGCATTTAAGCTTTAGCTTAAACGGGGCTAATCAAATTAATATGAGCAAACTTGATTAAAGACTCTAAGAATGCTACAAAGTTTGGTGATTATCCATCAATTATTTCAGTACGAAATGATGTTGGAAGGTTTTTTTCTATTTTTAGCTTTAGTGGCCCCTAAAAGGGGCTAATCAAATTAATTTAAGCAAACTTGATAAAAGAGTACCCAAGAATGCTACAGACAAAGTTTGGTGATCATCCATCAATTGGTTCTGAAGTAGGAGATGTTTAAAGGTTTTTCTATTTTAAGCTTTAGCGGTCCCTAAAAGGGGCCAATTAAATTAATGTGAGCAAACTTGATAAAAGATTACCCAAGAAGGCTAGAGACAAAGTTTAGTGATCATCCATCAATTAGTTCTGTAGAAATAGACATTTAAATGTATTTCAATTTTTAGCTTTTGCGGCCCCTAAAAGGGGCCAATCAAAATAATATTAGCAAACTTGATTAAAGACTACAAAACAATGCTACAGACAAAGTTTGGTGATCATCCATCAATTAGTTCTCTAGAAATAGACATTTAACTGTATTTCTATTTTTAGCTTTAGTGGCCCCTAAAAAGGGCCAATCAAATTAATATAAGCAAACTTGATAAAACACTACCCGAGAATGCTGTCGACAAAATTTGGTGATCATCCATCAATTAGTTCTGTAGGAGAAGGTGTTTAAAGGTTTTTTTCTATTTTTAGCCCTAGAGACCCCTAAAAGGGGCTAATCAAAATAATATAAGCAAACTTGATAAAAGACTTCCTAAAAATGCTACAGACAAAGTTTGGTGATCATCCATCCATTAGTTCTGTAGAAGAAGATGTTTAAAGGTTTTTCTATTTTTAGCCCTAGAGACCCCTATAAGGGGCCAATCAAATTAATATGAGCAAACTTGATAAAAGACTACCCAAGAATGCTTCAGACAAAGTTTGGTGATCATCCATCAATTAGTTCTGTAGAAAAAGATGTTTAAAGGTTTTTCTATTTTTAGCTCTGCTGACCCCTAAAAGGGGCCAATTGGAATGACATGAGCAAATTCAAGTGTGACTGTCACAAGGATGCTACAGACCAAATTTGAAGTAAATCTGCCTAGTAGTTTCAGAGAAGAAGACGATTGTTGACGCATGACGACGGACGCCAGAGCATCCCCCTTTGACACTTATAGCTCACCCTGAGCCTTCGGCTCTGGTGAGCTAAAAAACATATCACAGATCTTTCTATGACCAGCAAATTCTTAAAAAATTCTGATGAAACGAACTTGCACTGAATGGTATTTGTGATGCAAATGATTTTCGACCAAGTTTATGCATGTTTTTCAAAAAGGTTTATGTATCGAACTCCCTGCGGGTACCATATCTTAACCCCATTCTAGTGTAATCAGACTATGTGTTAAAATGCAGACATAGCTACACCTATCAACTGTTTCCACTATCAAAGTGAAAACACAAGTCCAAAACAGTTACTTTTGGTATTAAAATTATTAGAAATATTCTTATTTTATGTGAAATAAAATTTCACATTTGTCTGTCATTTGCTAAAATTATATTTCAATATTTAACAACTGATAAGGGATTGAAATTTATATATAGCTAATGCTATACTGGTTGGAGAGATAACCCCGACAATAAATCACATATTTTTTGCAATATCTTGATTGTCTACCTTCATATCTAAATATTGAACCACCTAAACAAAGTTCAGTACAAACACTTTACATTACACCACAAAAATTATGTATGAAAAAAGAAACTGGAACTTCTTTAAATTAAGGTCCTGAATGAGGTATACAAAACATGGTCTTTTTACCCCACAAAAGAAGATAAAGTCGACACTAAAATTTTTAAGTAAAAAATGCTTGGAAAATAAACACGAATAATTTATTTTTTACATCTTTTATGTTTTATCTGTTTTTTTGTTGATATTTAAACAATTTTTCAAAACCTTTACCTAGTCAGTGGCCTGTGGTCAATTCAATTCTAACTACCTTATTGTAATTCAGTAAAAAGAACGTTTTGAGGCAGTTTTTGCCTACAAAAATTTTAGCTTATTTGAAAAACATTTAAAAGTTTACCAACTTGAAAAAAAATCATTACATTCTGTTCTGCTCATATAATACTAGGTGACCATGTGCTTGTAAGATGAAAAACAAAGTTATAACAATTATATTTATCAAGTGTCGGGTTATCTATGTGTCAGAGTTATCTCTCCGACCAGTATTAGGCTATTTTTTAAAATAGAAGTTTAACTGTTTATTTACTTTTGAAAAAAATATGTGATCTTAACATTTTTTAGGGATTAAACAACAATTTATCCATTGCCTTTGGTCAATTAGCAAACAGGACGTTTCGGCCCAAAACCAAATCCCCCTGTGCAAAATCGGCCCCTAGACGTTTCGGCCCTTTTACGCGAGACGTAATGGCCTTTTTTTAATCATATTTAAAAAGGAATTTTTATACTTAAAATCGTCAAAAAATGTAGTATATTGATGGCAAACAAACAATTTTTTTTTTATATTTAGGTATGTGTTTTTTTCAAGGTGTAACAAATTAATTATTTATGGCTTTAATTATTGCTAATTAGCAGTTAATAATATCAAAGAAAACTTCAAAAGTTTTTTAACTTATAATAAATTAATATGATTTGTTATAATTTCTTGATAATATTTTGAGTTATTATTGTAAAATTCTGATTATAAATCTGTCACTTGTATCGTAAAAGACGTTATTTATAAAAATGTCTGTTAACAATGTATTGTTTGTTTTATTTCATGAAAGTACAAGTATAATTTTTTTAATGTTTTGTGTTGTTTTGTATTGCTCAAACTCGCCAATTAGATCTACTATTAATTAAATAGTTTTGATAAGAAATGTTTGTTTCATGTATTGTTCTGTGTCTTGCTTTTAATCGTTCAAATTTTTTAAATGCTTGTTGATAATAAGCAGATGAAAATCTTTTTCAGCATTTGTGTACTATGTTTTGACTTTTGTTTAATAAAGTTTATGTTCTGTTTGTTTTGATCACTACTAGTCTATTTTAGCCTCATTCAATTACAAAATCATAAATTTAATTATTCAATTAATCCTCTCATCCCTATATTTCATTCATTTTTTGAAATGCTATTAAAATTATGGCATTCAAACTTAGAGCTGTCATCGATATCGACAATTTCGATGTATCGTTGATATTTTTTTGCCGATCAATAATCGATTCACATTTTAAAAAATCGATACTTTTGACTTATTAATTAAATGTCTAGAAATTATAAAATTCACTCAAAATATATACAGAAGCAGTTATTTATATCTAATGTTATGCTTTTGTTATATAGTGGAATTATTTCATAGCAATGGTGACAAAAAATATTGTCTGGAAAAAATCATGCAGTGGACAAGACACTGTACAGAACATGTTTTTGACTGAAATCATTGAAACAGGTATGAAAGTGAATGACAGACAAGTAAGTATAGGATATTATCGATATATCCAGGGCTTCCACTAGGATTTTTTTTTAGGAAGTCAGGACTTCCTTTCAAGGAATTTTGGAAGTCATGAGGTAAATTTCTGGAAGTCAGTTGTTCTTACGCGTATAATTTTCATGTTTCAATGTTTGATTTATAGTATGGGATGATACAAGTAAAAGCAATTATTTTAATCAAAAGATTCTGAAAATGTCATTCCTTTTATTGTTTTAAGTTCAAAGTATCTTTACATGATTGTTGGGTAAATATTTTCAATAGAAGTAAGAACGTTACCCTGAAAAGGACTGTATTGTTGTTATTCAAGGACAGTGGTAACCGTGTAGAACCCTTCAGTGATAACATTCAAATAATTGCTCATTGGTATATAACAAAAAAAATAATATTTCCAGAAAACTTTTAATTCTTTAATCAATCATGGTACAAGTAGATTCTGAAATGTGTATGATGGGTTCTTCTTTTTCTACCTTTGGATCAGTACCATACAGTTGTCTCATGTGATCAGCCTGCACAGCATTTTTGTGGATTCATTGTGTTTTAAAAGGGTGGATCTCTGTAGATTTCCTGAAATAAAAAAAAACATGACATCCTTTAGCATTGTTATTTTTCTTATTTGTAAAATAAAAATTGTTGTTTAGTAAATATCTCTTGTGTTTAAAATTATTTACTACAGTATTCATAACACATTAACAACCAAAAATGGTTAAATTTAATCAGGCTTGTAAATTGAAAGTTTTATGAAAATAATTTCGAACACCGTTTTTGACCAAATTAATTTTTTTAATTACATTTTTGAGATACGCCAAATTGCAGAAGTGAGCGTTGAGACATTTTGAGAGTGGGTAGGGAAAAAGATTTTTAAATGTTACTTTGCTTCTCATAATTAGCGAGTGAAAAAAAATAAAATCAAATCAACATCTATAGAATGTGTGAAAATAAAAACGTCTTTAACTTCAAAAAGGAAAAAAAATCAAAAAGACAAAAACACGCTTCGCAGACTCGGCAAACTTTCGGATACATTCAAACTTACCGATGCACACAATAATTAATAAATCATTTTATCTAATTAAAGTAAAAACAGATACCTACCACAGTTTATGTCAATTAACTATCCATTATCCGTAAAAAACAAACAATTAATCCAATCACTTTGTTTTCACGCTTATCAAGGTCATAAATCAACACTCGCTAATTCGTCACGCGCCAGGTGCATTCGCATAATTTCACCCATCGATGTCATGTCAACCATTCAATTCAGGAGGCGGAGTTAAATAAATAATCCAATCGTACGCCAGGAAAGTGAGAAAAGGTCGGAAAATGGTTGTGGCGTACGTCACTGCTTACGATTTTCGCCGTATTCCTAAATTTTTGGAAGTCAGCGGTACGTCATTGATCTTAATTTTCGGCGTACATATACGATTTTCGGGCGTAATTTACGGCCGTACGCCCGTTAACGGAAGCCCTGTATATCGGTGTATCGTTGATTTTAGTTACTTGATATCGATATATCGTTGATATGCTTTGCACTGAATCAATGACAGCTCTATTCAAACTTATTCTTAACTAAAATCTGAAACGTCTTGGGTAATTTGAGGCCGATACGTCTTGGGGCCATAATGACTCGAAATTGTCAATTACATGATAAAGTAATAAAAAAATATGTTAACTGGTTAAAACAATAAACAAACTCAATCACTTTTGAATTTAACATTTCCCACATTAATTTATATTGTTCACAACAAAATTAAAAAATGAGGGTGAAGTGACTCAATCAAATTTCTAAATAGGGGTGAACTGTCTTAGGGTTGAAGTGTCTACAAAAAAGTGTGTCTGTAATTTAAAGCAATTTTCATGATTTTTACTTTTTCCTCCACACAGTGTACAACAATCGATGGGTATTTCCTACTAAGCCAGCGAAAAAACGCTGGAACTCCCATGATTCTTCTGTATGTTAGCGATGTCTACAATAGTTTTCTTAAACCTCACAAATCGTTTAATTTTTTGTTTAAATTGTTTATTCCATGTGAACTGGACAGAATTCAACTTCCGTCTTTCTGGTTGCGAGCTCGCAAAT